TAATACAGTCAGTCACAGCTTTTGTGACCCTTGTTCTATCTCATATGCGATTTTAAATATGCAATAAATGCTTGTTTGAAGCAATTTCTATCCTAACGTCTCTCTTTACATTAGAATATAGACCAGTTAATATGTTGATGGTGTCTCATATGGCACGTTTTCACATTTTAAATTTGTTATTAATCAGAAATTTAACTCTCCAAATTCATGCAGCATTGTGTTGTCATCGTATGTTCAAAATAACAGACAGGATTGCACAATGATTGGTAGTGTATATGTGGCTTTGGCACAATCAGACTTAATAAACAGTAAATTGTTTCTAACTTTCTGACGTTAGTTGTGATTGAAGCTAATTTAGTCCTAATTATGTGATGATATGAGAAATGCTCATATGTGGGATGAACTAGTTTCCTCTCAGGTGGTAATAATCCATCATGTGTTTGAAATCTGTCACACAATTAATATTGAACTGAAGCTTTACAAAAAAAAATGTCATAAATCGCAATATTTGTTTTGAAAATATGTGAAAATTAGACATTCATGGCATTTCCTGACTCATCTCTTTATCTGGCTATCTACAGATGTTATGTTTACATGCTTAATGTGTTCATTGTGTTTATCCTGCAACATGCTGTATATACTCACACTGTATAAAACAGGCTTTTACTGCTTCTCTTGCACTTCTTGTTAGATATAAAACTGCATTTTGCTGTTTAAATACTCTGCAATGACAATCAAGTTGAATCTAATGTAATATTTTTCCACAATCGAGATAACAAATGTAGGGAAAATATTATGTAAATGTCAGATTTATTAACTTTTTCAAGTAAAAGGAGTTTTATCACGAAAGATTCCAAGGGTTGTTAACTGAATCCACACTCAAGAGGCAGTTTTGTTGACCCAAGAGTTCAGGCATTGGCAGCTGTTATTTTGAAGGGTAATCCTTGTCACCGGAAGTCTTGCCGTCAGTAACAGCGGTAACTTACCATGTTATCATCAGCCATGTTTTTAGCATCTCACATTAAGCGCTCTGCTTACCGCTCCTAGACAGTCGTGTGTGTTGGTGGAGGCACTGTTAAACTCACACAGAAAAGTAACATTAGCTCTCATTTGTTTTTCACCAGCTAGCCTCGTTTATTGGCTGCCCCTCAGTGCACAGCGTTCAGTTATGCGCCATTTAATTCTCTAGCGTCTTTGCCTGTTGTCTCCAGCAGAAGTCAGCATGTCGAATGATCTGGCTGGTGTGTGGGAGGTGGCCCTGAGTGATGGAGTCCACAGGATAGAGTTTGAACACGGCACGACCACCGGGAAGAGGGTCATCTCCGTGGATGGGAAGGTGGGCATCCACAGTGTGTTGTCCTAAAGCTGGTACCAGTCACTTCCTCATCACAGGATTAGTTCATTTTTCTGATTTCACCTCCAGGAGATCCTCAGACGGGACTGGATGTTCAAGCTGGTGGGGAAGGAGACGTTCAGCGTGGGCCAGTCGGACACCAAAGCCACCATCAACATCGACGCAGTCAGCGGTTTCGCGTACGAGTACACCTTGGAGATCAACGGGAAGAGCCTGAAGAAGTACATGGAGAACAGGTCAAAGGTCACCAGCACCTGGGTGCTCAACCTGGACGGCATCGACTGCAGAGTGGTGCTGGGTGAGCTCCTCCGTGTTACTGTGTCGGTGACAGTCTAGTCATATTGAAGAAAAAAGAAATACAGTGAAGGCAAATGTATTTAAACACATGACCCAAAAAGCATCCCAGCAAGTAGTTACAGATGATGGCGATGGCCGGATGGATGGATGTTTGTTTCTATACATATACAAATACACAAAGACAGACTAAAAATATAGTTACAGGTCAAATCAAAATGTCAGCACATGCACATTGCGTAAAAGTAGGCTGACTGTGCTTCATGGTATTTAAACTAAAACTAAACTAAAGGGAAGACATTCAAAATAACCAAGTAATGTAACAGAGGTTGGTTTAAAAGTTCATTTTTTTTTAATCCCCTTTGTTCTTACAACAATTTCCCTGAGGTTTGCACCAAAGGGATCTATAAAGTTCTATTCTTTTCTTGGTGTGGTGGTATGGAGGCCAAAAGAATGGAATTATATCACTTCTAGGATGAAAGGTCATGCAGTAGAGTTAGGAGTGGTGATTTCACATGAGCCGAGGTGCTTTGACACCCATGTTAGAGATTTTTTGCGATATAAATAATGCAGCCGCACTGTGAGTTGATTAGGATGAGAGCATCTATTGTTAAAGAGATTCCACCTGTGTCATCTCCGGCTGTACTTGTTCATTCTTACAATCGATCCCGCTAGACATTGAATCAATCTTCTGCACAGCGCAATTTATGCCTCTTCAGATCTGCCTTCTAATATTGTGCCGGAGGCTGAGGCTAAGCTCTTTAACTGCTTTAATCCCCACGCCGTCTTCGGCCACCTCTGTCCACTGGCCAAGATAATCCTTCTTATAATTGCGCTGCTGACAGTTGATCAGGTGGCACACAGCCTAAACCGCACACAGGAACTGCTGCACATTGTTTGCAGTGGTTATCTATAGATCTCAGCAGTAAAACAAAGTGGCAGAAATGTGAGTGTGGTTTCGAGTAGTGCTTTCTCACACTGCAGACAATCTGTTCACTTTAAACTCAAGAACATGCCGACACTAAAACCACCAGCTCCTCCTCTTTTGCGGTTTTAGAGAGATCTTTATCAGTGTTTTTATCAGTCGAGCTGGATTGGACATGTGACTAAAATCAATTCAAACTTTGTAAACAATTTCAAGTTCTCACAAGTCTTAACATCAACTCAGTGTTGCCTGTTTGTCTTTAGAGGAGTAAATATCCTCCAGGGGTAGTCGTGACCAGTCAAAGTGATACTTGTGATATTTAAATGAACCTTTCAGCCAAATCAGAGTCTTGAACTTGAGAAGCAGGACAATATTTAGCAGGGTATTCATTTTAAGGTGTCAAAGGCGATTCAATTTGATGAGTTTTATTTGTTTTATTTGTTTGTGAATAAAAAAAACATGTCAACATGCAAATTTTCTCAAAATCAAGCACTTGAATGTTCTGAGAACATTTTCTTCTCATTGTGTTTTGTTTTAACAAGACTTTGAGGTCTTTGTAGCAGTTGCATAGTTTGATTTTTTAGTTTTTATCATGCATGTCAAAGCTGAATAGATATTGTGTATATATTTGCTATTTTTAGGAGACGTAGTCATCAAGGAAAGTCCTGCAAGTAATTCAAGACAGAGAACAGACTCCAGTCAGGGCAACGTTATTGTGCTTGTTCTGGGAAACCATGTGATTATCAGACAAACTGAAACCAAAACCGAACAGTAATATCAACAAACAACAACTCACACTGCAGCTTGTGTAACAACTGTTTGTCACACCATAAAACTTTTTATTGGCCAACATTTGCTGATTAATTTATTCAGCATCTTTCTGTTTACTTTCTTCCAGAGAAAGACACAATGGATGTGTGGTGTAACGGAGAGAGGATCGAGACTGCGGTAAGTTAACACTGGTTTGTTGGGAAATATCCTCATTTCACGAGAGCAGATATGAACTTTTTCTGCACCATTGATGCTGCAAGTTGTTTTCTGGACAGAAGCCTTTTACCTCAGTATGTGTGAGTAGATGACAGTGATGGGCGTGGTTGAATGAATGTGGTCTGTCAGTAGGTTGATCAGGGCACAAGACAGACATGCAGAACTAAGAACTTAACTTGTTTTTACTGCATGACAATAAATCGTTTGAATAAAAGATGCATTACTTATTTAAGAATGTACGAGGTGCGTCAGAAAAGTTTCAGGACTGGTGTCACAAAAGTTATATTTCAAATCCAAACTACAAACTACAAATTAATCCCCCTGGAGTCTAGGACACTTTCCCAGCCTTCTCTGCCACGCCTGGAAGGATTCTTCTGGGATCCTCCACAGCTCCGTCGTCACAGCCATCTTGATGTCATCCACGTCTTCAAAACGGGTCCCCTTGATGACCCCCTTGAGCTTGGGGAAGAGGAAGGGAGGTTGGGAGGTTGCTCCAGCACAGCGATGTTTTTCTCAGCCATGAACTGTGGGATGCTCAGGGCATTGTGAGCAGGCGCGTTGTCATGGTGAAGCAGCCACGCCTTGTCCTGCCACAACTCTTGCCTCTTCTCAAACAAAGCAAACGCCGCAGGATCTCTTTGTAGACGTGCTGGTTGATCATCTGAAGGTGAAAACTCATAGTTTGTAGTTTGGGTTTGAAATATATCTTTTGCGACACCAGTCCTGGAACTTTTCTGCATTATCCATCCTGTTAACCAAAAGTAACTGCTAAAGCTTGAAAAAACAAAACCCTGTAGTTCTACATTTTCTGCATATAGAGAAGCACAAGAGCAAATAATACTGCTGTGTTTGTCCACACTTTTCTGATCTGCACCCGCAGGGGGAGTTTGTGGATGACGGCACAGAGACGCACTTTACACTCGGAGACCACAACTGCTGTGTGAAAGCGGTGAGCAGCGGGAAGAGACGAGACGGGATCATTCACACGCTGCTCGTAGACGGGACAGAGATAGCTGAATGCACAGAGTGACGTTTGCATTCGTGTGAGAGTGGAAATCAGGTTTTGTGTTTGCATCTGTGAAACTGAGTGCGGGCGTGGATAAAGGACTGTAATTTAAAGCTGTGGGAGTCAGGGACCAGCTGACAGAAACAATAAGTCGGTGGCCATACTTTGCAGGGTTTCTTAGCCACACATTGGTGACGGTTGTCCTGTAGTTAGTGTAGAAAGAGTAGAAGACAGGACCTGCAGTCTGAACAGCTTTAGAAGAGAAAGCCATAAATGTCAGTCACAAAAAAAAAAAAGATTTACTGTCTCAAAATGTTCACACTGGGAAAAAAAATAACTGGGACTTTATACTGATAGAAACAGGACCAACCTCTGTTATATTACTTACATAGAAGTCCAGATGTGCCACATTTATCTACTCAGCACGTTGTTAGCGCGGGCAGCTGCTGTTGAGGTTTTTACCGTCTCAGATGTCATTATGATGAGAACTGCCAGCCACTTTACAAACAGCCCGCCCTCCTGACAAACCCCGGCCTCTCTGCTCGTCACGCCAGCTTTCTTTTATACGTCAATATCGCGCCGTAGGAAGTTTCACACACCAGGGTACGAGATTATTCCTTGAATGTAGCGTCACTCCAGCGCGCACCGGAGCGATTCCTTGTTTATGTCGACGTGTTAAATGGTCTTCGTCGGTATTACAGTTCCGTGTAATTAGCTTACTGCTGTAGGTGTGTCAAAACATTTGAGGGTGCTTTGTCTACAAGTTATTAGCTGTAACAGTTACATAGACAATCATTCCCATGTGACAATATTGCCAGTGATAAATACACAAATACATGCTGATATCCAGTCGTACTTTCTCTTGTGTTTAGAGGTGTGCTTTTCTTTTTTTTTTTTTTTCATTTTAAGGTCAGATATTATGGTTACACATATTTTTGTAAAGTAATGGTTACAAATTAAAGACGGGACATTTCCCTGATGTATCTCAAACGTCTCTCACTGTTTCTTGAGTTAAATTCCACTTAGGTGGCAACCAAAATGGCAACCGAGTAGACCTGATCCTCTGTTGACAGAAACACGGCTCCAGTAAACAGACGATGAGTTGGGTTTTGAGTTCCTTGTGACACAATTCCTAAAGTTCAAAGGTGATGAACTTTGATGCTCAGTAGATGGTTTCTAGCAGTTGTTATTGTATCATTATGATTAAGAGGGACTTGGTTTTATGTATTTTTATATGTCATGTATAAAAACTTACATGTTTCATTTTGTAAAAACGTAAATTGTATTTAGTTTTATTAAAGCTACGTAGCTGATCGGGTTTTGTTGTGTTGTTGAGATTCAAATGTACTTTATTAGTTGGCAAAGTTGGGTACATGTAAGGGCTGTGGTCTGTTCCGTCAAGCATCTTTTCCATTTTTTAAGTAGTGAGAGTTGAGACTTAATTACAAACATATAAAATGATTAATTTCATTGGAGTTGATAATCCTCGTGTAAGATACATTTTACAACTATTACATTCCTTTTGTTGTGGCGCAGTGCACATCCCTGTTCCCAAAACCTTTGCATCTGTTAGATCAGGAATCACATTTGATTCTTTTTCCAAACAAAATGAAACCAGTGAATGATTTGTTGCTTTAATGGTGTTTAGAGATTTAACATGGTGTGGTGCCCCTCAACACATGACATACACAAATGGACAAAGTGTAATATTGCTGCTATAAGACAGCACATCTTTAAAGCTGGATCATTGATTGATATACAAATGATTAAGCCACTCCTCGCAGTACTAGTGCTGCTATATAACGCAGCTCAATCATCCCAAAAGAAACTAGAAATTCAAGTTACTGCTGTAGTTATGCAAATTTCAACTAAAAGAAAAATAAAGCTGACATGTTTATAGTTTTACGATACTGATGTCCATTAATGGTTTTACTGCAAACTGTAATTTCTAATAGTAAATATGTTTGCCAGGGATGTACTCAGGGTTGTTTAGAAAAATCTAAACCCTCTTACAGATGATAATGTACCTGGGCAGAGCTTGATAGCCGCTAAATATGACGGAGACATCAGACCCTCCAGTCACACTGTCATACAAAATGCTGGGATCCGTCCCCACAGTGGGTGGCACAATGAGATCTCTTCTCCCAGTGGTGGAGTTCCCCTTCAGCACGTCGGCCTCCACAAAGTACAGATACTCCTCATTCCTCGCCTTCCACATGGTCATGGCCCTCTTCACTTTATCAGTGAAGTAGATGCCCTCGCCATATGCTGGGTCTACATAAAGAGGAAGATTATTAAGCATAGATTGTTACTACATCCCTTCTCACTTGGATGTTATGCTGGTTACAAATTAAAGGAAAAAAACCTGTTGACCCCTACAATGAGGGGATCCAGTGGCTTTGTTACGCTCTGGTTATGGTTTGGGTTATTTTTGCTTAGAGGAAAGGGTCACTGCAAATCAATGCAAAGTTGCTCTGAGTGATCACCTTTATCATACGATGAAACATTCTTATCACGATGGACAGTGGTTTCTTACAAGAGGATGGTTTGAGGATTATGAAAATGATGCGAATCATACACTATGGTTTGCAATCTAACCAAACACCTGTAAGATTTTTGACTGATACATTAGACCGCCCTCTCCACCACTATCGTCCAAACACCAAATGAGGGAACAGCCATCGTAAGAACGGTGTTCATTCCTCCAGTAGAGTTCCAGGTACTTTTGGAAGCGATGCCAAGGAGCACTAAAGCTGTTCTTGCAGCACAAGTTGCCCCAACACGCTGCTAAGACCCTTTATGTTGGTTTTTCCTGTAATTGGTCACCTGTCTGCATGTGTTAGCCTTTCATATTATATCCAACGACATCAGTAAATTATCATTAATGCTGTTTGTGGCATCATTAACATACCTTCAGGTGGTGCATACTCTGCATGGAATCCAATATGGCTGACCATTTCACAGAACTGTGCAGGTATGCGTTGCAACATTCTTTGAGAAGTGCGGCAGTCCAGCTGCTTTTTCTTGAGTTCAAACAGCAGCTTCAGCGCAGAGTTCTCCACCTTGTCCACCTAAAAGTAAAGTATGCCACTTGTCATGCACTGCCTCAAAACAAGACACAGACTTTTACATAAATTCATTTCAACATTTCCCAGTTTGAGAAAAGACTGTGTCCCCTTTGAAACTACTTTTCGATTAGATGCAGCATCATTCATTTCTATTCATGAAACCACATGAAGACATCAAAAATTAAACTGTAATATAAACCAAATTACAAAGCCAGTGTCCTACGACAACTTTAAGCATGCTACATTTGTACATACTGTACCTTTGTGATCCTCAGCCCCACATTTTTGAAGGCAGTCACTTTGTCTGCAAACTCTTTGCTTTCACGTTTAACCGTCTCTCTTTCAAAGAACACTTTACCAGCTGTCAAAGTTTGCAATTCAGACTCTTCCTCCGAGACAAACTTCTTCTGGACGGTGCAGAGCATGGCCTCCACCTGCAACGCAGCAACTGCAACATCTTCAGAATTCCCGATTATAGTTATGCATGCATGACCGTTGGCAAGAAACTCCTCAATGAGAACACCCTTTTTCTTCAGACGAGCCAGCTGCCGATATTCTGTCTCACTTAAGTGCTGGATGAAGTTGTTGTAGATTTCAACAGTACCGGAGTTGACGAGCAGGTGAGTGAGCCATTTCTCAGCCTCGCGTGTTGATTCATCAGAGAGGCCAGTCAGGCTGATCTGTGGAGATGGAGTTTTGCTGGTGGGCAGATCATCTCTGTGTGGTGATGCTGCTGCTGCTGCTTAAAAAAAAAAGACATAACAACAGAATCACTGTGGCAAGATAATTATAAACAATTATTTTTAATTATATCTGAAACAAGGTTAGTTGAATTATAGTTGTTTTTTTTTTCTACAGATCATTTGTTTTACCGAATGCAATGGAGGCTCCAACAACAGTAAGCTACAGCTAAGCTTTCTATATGTTTTTAAGAGTGTATTATATTTTAAAGAAATCTGTTCTTTCAGGACATACGCATTACCAATACACGTAAAAGTCTTAATACTTTACAAGGTCTATTCTGGTGTTTTTTCACATTTTTAAAAATTGAATTACCAATTCACTTATTTATGAATGAATTAATGTGTTGCCAGAACATCATACAAAAGCTCCAAAATAAAAAAATAAAAAAACAGTGGTTGCAACACTAAATCTTTTACAGATGATTTTTTTTTACTGTCTGTTGGCCTCCATGCTTCACACAGTGTTATCTGCCACCATCTGGTGTCTGAACTGAACTGGACGGAAATATTGTTGTTACCAGGTGTAGGGCTGTGATGAGAGGCTGGTGAGAGATTTTGCTGAAGAAATCCTATTTGTTCCTCAAAAGCCTGGAAAGAGAAGGTTATTAATTAATACACACACACACACACACACATATATATATATATATATATATATATATATATATATATATATATATATATATTCTTCATATGAGACAATTAACAAAGCATAAATGGCATTTTCCTTAGTTAGGGAGCACTAGCAGCCAAACTTGTTCAACTGGACAAATCAGCATTTCTCAGTAGGTGTGAGGAGTGTTTCACGCCACAGTAAATACATAACCACATTCCATCTAACAGATACACAAATATCTATGAAACTTATTTATGACATTACAGCTTTAGTAAAATCATGACTGAATTTCTGAAATACAACCTGAAATGTGTCATAGTCAGAAGGAAATATGACAAAGTAAACTTCCATCTTCTTTCGACACGTTTGGGCGAAGGTAATCACTGCCTTTAACATGATGGAGGCAGATTCTTCTTTAGTAAAGCGAAGGGCTCCAGTGCCGATGGCAGGAAAAGCGATGGACTGGTGTTGACTTTGCTCTGCTCTTTGTAAGCATTCCAATACTGACTTAAAAAGGATCTGAAATGAATCAATAGGTGGACAAAGACACAGACATACTTAAGCAACTTATAGATAGTAATACTTGTTGTCTGTATGGTATATATATTATTCTAAGCTTTCAATTGTGTCACTTTTTAAAATCATCTGCACAATCAGCTGTCATTGTCTTCAAAGAACTAACTCTTGAAATCTCCTATATATGTTTTTTTTTTTTTTTTTGATTTGACAAACTTAAATTGGATGTATTTATAGTTCTGGCCACAGCAGACTAGATCATTTTTTTAATTAAAGCCAGTATCATACAAATTTACAGTTTAAAAATTTGCTTTAGAATATGTTAGTATGCTTTAATGTTCAAAAAACAGCATATTTTTTCTGCTGCTTCTTACCTTCTGCCTAAAACTCTCTCTAAAACTTTAAGGAGGCCTGGACCTCAAACCAAGTGCTTTAGAGAGTTTGAAGTGACATTTTCTGTGGGAGAGAATAACTCCCTCTAGTGTGGATTTTGGGCTTTAAAACTGTATACTGTACCTTATTTGCTTTAGGGAGGTCCTTGTCAATGCAAAAAGTGTGATACACCTCTCGACATCGCAGCCCGTAGGATTTTGTCGGAATGGCATGTCCCATCATCTTAGCAAAACGCAGTTCGTCTTGCATTTTATGACCAGCTTTCTGTAATAAAACCTTGGAGATCTGACCCTGGCTTAGGTCTCTGTGTGGTGATGCAGTGTTTACAATGACATCTGTCTGAGGGGGCACAAAAAAGAACAGTGACTATGAAAGGATCAGAGCAACAATATAGATGATTGGCATCGATTTCGAAGCCTCCAAAAATCTAAACACCACATTGGATCACAAAAAACAGTTAGTGTAGAACACATATTAATATACTGTACAGTCAATAACAGTTCAAACAAGCAGCTGTTCACATCAGATGTCATAGAATAAGTTAAAAAAATCATTTTTACAAAACAGCGAAGACACATAGCCGATTCTTACCCGTTGTTCCTCTATATTTTCCCTCTTCACTTTCAGAACGACATTTCCAATCTGGACAGTCGGAGTTGAGGTTTTGGCAGCACTTCTGGTTCTGCTTGCTGTTGCCTGGCTGTAAAGCATGGGCTGATGTTGTTTGCCGAATATCTGACGGCACGCCCTCTCCATTTCCCTCACAGTGGGCTCGTCATGGTTCACAAGGAGGATTTTTGGAGGACGATGTGTTTGACGGGAAGACTTTTCATAGTAGCGTTTCACAGTTGACACTATGGTGTTTGCGCAGTCTGGCAGGGGGTAGTTGAACAGCCCAGAGCTAATAGCAGGAATGGCAACAGTCATGAAACCATGTTCTTCAACTTTGTCAAGAATGCTGCAGATGGTCGTCTTCAACAGCGGTTCAGCTTGTGTAACATCAGACATCGTTGGATTATACATCAGATGTGGACCCACTGCATGGATTATCTTCTTGCATGGTAGTGATCCAGGAGCACTGACAAATGTTTCTCCTGTTTTTAAGTCACCATGCTTGCTGATATAATCATAACTGTCCTTTTGGATTGTAGGACCACCTGCCTCAGACAGAGCTTGAGCAAGGCCACCACCATGATGAAGACTTGAATTGGCAGCATTCACAACGGCATCCACTGGGAAACTGGTGAGATCCGCCTTCCACACATCCACCTCAACACCGTTTGGCAGCGTGGCAGCAAACCTCTTCTCTGGGACAACGGTCGGCGATGCAATGCTCTGATGTTTCTCAAAGTCCACACCGTCAAAGGTGGCCACACATCCAAATTTGCTATTCAGTATATCGCTGAGAGCAGGTCCACTGCGTTTCACAATGTTCAGTGAGTGTCCATGAAGAGGAACATCTAATTTACTTTGCATGGTTTCTGAACGGATCTGTGGAAACACTGTGTGTCAGTAAATCATGTAACGACAAAAGCATCACATCTCAAACATCACAAATGGACCCAATGAGATTTATAATAAATAAAGACAACAACATCACGTGAGAATGAGTGAACACACCTTCATATGCTACAGAATACGTAGAGCTGACACCTATATTAGATCAGTTGTCAACTATTAAATTATAATATTCTCTGATTCCAGCTCTTTAAATTCAAATATTTTCTGCTTTCGTTACTCCTCTATCAGGGTGATCTGAATATCTGTGGATTGTGGAGAAAACAAGACCTTTGAGGAGACGTTTCATCGACAAAACAACTAAATCTAGAAAATAATTCTCTGTTTACATTACACTGAAAACAATCATTAGTTGTAGCCTCACGCAATTGTCATCAGTCAAACCACAACAGTATAGAGCCTATTAATAAATCAAAACATGGCCGCTGGGATTATTAATAGGTATAAATGCAGGTATTCACCAAATCATGATCCTTAATTGAGATTTGATCATTGCATACTTAAAACAGTCCCCTTAAGTCTGCAGCTCATAATTGACTGGCTCAGAATGCCAATGTATTGCAAACGTATACGTTATTGATCGCAGGACAAAGACTCCATCAGCTAAGGAGGAAATTAATCCCAGTGATGTGGACACTAATAATAATAATAATAATAATTGTCTGCTTTGGCACTCTTATCAGATGGAAAATAGCTTTTGTGGCCTTAAAAGGTGACCCACAGCACACTGGATTTCCATACACGTGTTGTTGTCCTTTCCACCCAGTAGAGGGCGACAGTGACATTCAATGTGGAAGGTAATGATACCATTCAGTAATCATTCACCTGCTTCAAAAGCACAAAGCAGGATGTGTTCCTGCACAGAGTTCCTGGGGTTAGACCATGCATATTATGTTGTTTGGCTGTTGACGCAGAAGTCATTCACTTTGCTTTTTGTAAAATGTAAAGTCTGAAAAATCATATTCAATAATTATATATTTCATGTTTTATTAGATTTTCCTGCAGTTCACTCAGTGGGTGTCTTTATATCGCACTGACCTGATTTGCACACGTTGCTGCCTAAATGCTGACAGTACAACTCAAAACCTGATTAAAATGAGGCAAAAAAAACTTCTGCGCGTATATAATTTAGTTGACACTTTATTTAACTCCGTTGTTAGTTTCTCAGTGCGCCATTTTTTTTTTTTAAATCTCGAGCGAGCCGATTCTGACGCACAACGTCCGCGAGACAACCACACAAGTCGCTGTATGCTAATTATTCGCGACAAAACCCTTTATTTATTATACGTTAACGCCGAAATTCGAGACAAACAAAGCGTACTTTCACCTTTAAAATGTAGGCTATAATGCAGAAACGAGATACTCACCGACATACCAACGGCTGGAAAGTACCGAGCTAAAGCAGAAAGCGAAAGAGTAAAGAGAAAGAAAAGGGGAGCGTTTCAAACCGCCTCACATCTGGGTGTTGGCCAAGTTTAACTCAATCCTACGTTCATACGACTTTGGAAACAAATGTCCTGCCCTCAATGGGCCAGTCTGAGCCAATCCACCCTGGCTCCGGTCGAACCGTCATAAAGATAGCAGCCGTTGCATTTCCTAAGAAACAAAAGTGAAAGTAGCTTCGCGCAGACGGTGTCCGGCCGGCAGCGATGGCTGACGCAGGTTCTTACCCTCTGCTCGTCGAGCTCGAAGAAAACAGCTTACCGAAGTTAAAAAACAAACTCGTGAAATACTTCCAAAGTAAGAAGTCTAACGGTGGAGGAGACTGTGAAGTGGAGTATGAGGACGGCAGCAGGACGGCGCTGCTCCGCTTCCGCAGCGAGAAAGGTAGGAGAAGCGAGTTCGTATTTTTTCACTTAGCACAGTTTGGAAGTGTTTATTTTATTTTATTTTATTTATTTACACAAAGCCTGCTTTATTAAGTGATTTATCTGTCAGTTTGGAAAACAACAACAGCGACATAAAAAAATAAAAAATAAAAAATAAACGCTGTCAGTGACGTCATTACTCAAGGCGCGTTCATGTGTTTCTCCCAGACCAGAGAAATGTTCTGGCCAAAGCATCACATCAGATCAGTGTGGGTCAAAGCGTCTTGAAGATGACGGTCCGCTTACCCACAGAGGAGAAAACTACAAAGGTGAGAGTGTGCACAAAAAGTCACGACAAGTCAGGCACACGTTGTCAGCAGCTGTGGTGTAAATCTCTGCTTTCATCAACATTGGGTGGGTCTCTACATGAGTGGGGTTCTATGTGTCAGTGCTTTAAGGCCTATTGTTTGAGGTCACAGAGGAAGTGAAACTGCAATCATTTCACTGCGTTCTGCAAGATTAACCCTCTGTCCTCCTCTTGTATGAAATTACAATAACAACAAAGTATTTCTCATTTGCTGGGGATCCTTTCCTTCCTCTTCAGATCATTTCTAGACTTCAACTATTCAAATGGGTGTGTTTTAAGACAGTAGCTGGCCCTGGCCTGCTTCCATATCACGTCATGTGAGTTATATGCTCAAGGCGGTGCTGCATGCTTAGATTTCTTCACTCTGCCCTTTCAGTGAGCAACTAACAAGCTCTAAAACACTACACAGAGCACTTGGAGAGCATTACTGGACTCTGTTTCCTTGGCACAGAGGTTATATTTATGTGTCCTTGTCAAACCAGAGGGGTGTACTACAAAGCAAGTTTGACATAGCCGGGCTTTCGAAGTTCACTCGACAAAAACTAAAGCCCCAGCCGGAGATCGTGGGTATCACAAAGGTGGTTTTCAACTTCCTTTGCCAACTCAGGCACTCTGCTTCATACTTTGTGCGCGTTCACATAAAAAGGAACATTTCACACATCATGTGACTCTTCACTCTGCACAAAATGAAACGAGCTGCTTCAGGCAACACGGTAAAATGGGTAACAATGAGGAATATAAAAATTAGTAGCGCTGCTACTACAAATAATGCAATACAGGAATACTGGTAAAAAATTTTAAAAAACTGCTAAATGTGTGTAATATATTTATTTTACTGATCAATGTAGCTGCTTATTTCTAACTGACAGCTGCACATTAAACTTGTTAAACTTTAAACTTAATATATTTAACCATTTAGGTCTGACACTGTCCCATAATGCAGGATATCACTTGAATTTTTGGCCAAATCAAAGTGAAATTAATGGTATTGATTGAATGTTCTCTGTAATAAATACCAGCAGAATAATCCATTTTCTAATCTGTTTTCTATCAGCTGCAGTAGCAGCAGAGTAAACAGACTTGACAGCAAATCAAAGCCAAATATAAAAACATATTTGTGTGATTTCTGCATCGCCAACTAAATACATGTCTGGTTCCTATGACAACACGATGCATACAGTGTGTGATACTGTAACTACACGGCTTCATTCAGTGATTTTAGTAACGCACAGCTCAGGGTGTGTGCAGATGAAACGCATTCCCTCAGCTGAGAATCTCTATTGCTCATAGAGAATCGTCAGGAAACAATTTGAATAAAGGGAGACGCCTCTTCCAGCCGATTTAGATACGAAACTCTGAACACAACCTGCTCCAGACCAGATTAGCTCCACAGCATCAGTTCCCATGAAGATCCATCCAGGTAAAAAGAGAGCCACCTTTGTGATGCTGAAAACTCTGACTTTAAGCTCAACATACCTCCATAACCCACTAATGTTGTTTTGTAGTACAGCCCTCTGCTCACACTTTTCCAAACACAAGATGTCAGTGTAACCACAAAAAAAAAATGTGATTCAAATCTTTCTTTTTTTTTTTTCTTTCTTCAATTCTATACAGGAAGCGTCTTCTGACAAAGACAACAAGACTTGTGAGTAAAGCAAATGTACACAACTACACTCTACACTCTAGCGCAAATTTGCAATCTCCACACACACACACACACACACCCACACACACACACACACACACACACACACACACACACACACATACACACACACACACACACACAGACAGACTTATCTTCTCACATTATACAGTACTGTAAATGTGTAGTCAAATACAGCCGACCTATAATTGTGCATCATTATGCATATGTTTGACAAAATGTTTGTTGAAGTTATTGACATGATTGGTCTTGTTAATCATATCTGCATATAATAAGCAAATTACAAGTACCTCAGGAAAAGCACCTGCCTCACAGTAACTGGAAATTCACCAGACTACTTTTCATTTCTTCTAACCTCTTGAAAGGCACTGTCTTTACTGACAATGGGCCGGGTGGCCATCTGTTTGTCTTCAGGCTTTGCCTTTACCAAAAGATACCTTGTCAAGAGTGTGTTGCTGTTAATCACTGAACTCAAAAGAAAGATAATTATTTGTTCAGTTTTTACATGTTGTTTTTAATCAGAGACACTTGAGAGTTTGTGCCACCTTCATACTGGGCTTGAACTGGATCGATTTGTGCCAAAGTATTTCTTCACATAAGGATCTATTTTAAGGTTTCCCCTCTCCGCATGTGCCACATGTTCCTTCTCTCTCCCTCTCTCTGTCTCCATTTTTCTTTTCTGTTTGTACAATCTGTTTATTTAGTGGGTTAAGTGCCATATATATCAAAAAACATGAAAATCTGTATGACAGCCCTGTAATGTTTGTCACAGTGGTAAAATGTCTGAAATGGCTGTTAGGTCACTCCTCCCTTCTCCAAGTCAGTGTTGACAGGACAGACTCTAAGCACCAGGCAGATGTGCAAAGATTGTGCTTTAAGAAATGGTGATAACTTTTCAGTCTTATTTGGGATAGACTACAGATCATTTCAGGAAATAACATAATAATAATTGGGTAGTATGATCAATGCCGCAAGGCAGCAACTTCACTACTCTGCTTGAAAAAGTGGCAAAAAGGAAGCAGACGGTTGTAATGGAAAAATACTGCATCTGCATTAAGAATGTCAAAGCAAGTTTGTCTAAGTTTCATTAAAGCTGAGTGGAAAGGTTTCAGGCCCAAAAATGTGTTCTCATAACATCTAGGTAAACACTAGTGGCCGTACATGGGAAGAAGAAGTTGTGCATCCCATGTGTTTAGACTTTTGATGCCTGATCCAGTGTGTTTAGTCTTCTAATGTCTGCGGATGAGTGCGTCCTGGACACCCAGCTGTTGTTTTCCAGCATGGGATTGTTATACTACTGTTGGAGTACAGACCACGCCTGTACATGTATAAGAATACTATGCTGCCTGCACTCATGTGTACTCTCCTGCAGATTGCTTGCATTCTGTATGACCTGTACCTTCAAAGCTTTGAATAAGCAAGACAAAGACAACTCAGACTACCGGACTTTATTAAGATCATAGAAAATTTCCACAACACGGTAGTCAAGTTAAGCCTAACCATCAAAATACTTTTTTTTTAATTAGATTTTCTTTTTTTAAAGTCTTTATGAGGATGCCACCTAAATAAATATTAAGTGTTGCAAAAACGTTATGGACCAAATTTAACACATTAAGTGATTTTATCCAGAATTGACTGTTTAGTGCAAGAAATGAGTGTTGATTCACTTAGCCTTTATGTCTCGTTAACAGCGCAACAGTTGAGTGCTGATGAACACCACACTGAAGCTGAAGTTGAGACAGAAGCCGAAGGCAGAGATGATGACACAGCAGATGAAGAGCTCTGCTCCACCTCAGCTGTTTTAGGAAATGTTCCAGAGACGGCAAGCCAGGAGTTTTTGGAAATGCTGGTAGAGAACATTATATCCGAAAGCTACATTTTGGAAATCTTTCGTGACACATCCTCTGCTGTGGTGACTTTCCAGAGTGGAAAAGGTACTCATTTAGGATATGCTTGTGTGTGTGTGTGCAGTAATAGTTCCAAAAAGGCAAATTTAAACAGTTTTCCTTGTACAGACAATCAAAGATGCACCTGTATAATCGTATGTCTGGTTGTTTTTAGCATTTAGAAATACTGCAGTGTTACCGTCTGCAAAAAAACTAAAGAAGTTAAGTTTAACCAATGATGGATTACCAATGGTGCTGCTTCACGTTAACATTGCAGTAAGACACCGTAAAAGGTGAATTGGAGTTCTCTAAACCACCAAAGGAAAGCAGTAAAACAACACAGAGACAACCTCGCCTTGAATACTGGAAGCCCATATGAAATTTCTGTTGTTAGTCAGCACATCCGAATAACCAGAATATACATCCAGTAAAGCAGTAAATCGTGGATTGCACTCATAATAGAACCTGACAAACTGGTGTACTTAAATCAGCTATGCATATTAAAGGGATCCTACAATATTTCTTAACTTTTCATCCCTGTTTTACAGAAAACACTGACTTCGTGACAAAATGCCCCCAAAACAAAATGTTCAAAAAGAAAGCATTAACAGTCCGACCTCTCGAACTCACACAGCAAGTTGTTGTCGAAGACATTGGAAGTTTTAACGAAGACATGCTCCGCCTCTATTTTGAGAAGAAAGGTGGGGATGTGGAAACTGTGGTGCTCAATGAAGTGGAACAGTCTGCCGTCGTGACATTTAAAGACCCCAAAGGTTAGTTCAGTCAAACTACACCTTTGATATTCCTCTGTGAATGTACAATATGCCAATGATATACAGTGACAGTGATTACAACCATTGTAGACCATGTGGCAGTTGATTTTATTTTTTCTTTTTATAGCTGTTAGCAAAATTCTGAAGACGAAGCATTGCATCAAGCAGCAAGAAATCAGAGTTTTTCCTTTTTATCAATCTTTGGGAATCGTCCTCTATGGCAAAGACAAGCCTTCACTAAAACTTCCTGCCGTGATCTCTGAACCCATCGACAATACCGTCTGGAAATACCTCAGGGACAATCAGTCAGCAGCAGAGACCATTCGTAGTGACTTGGCAAAACACTTCTGCAACGTAAACCTCGACCAACCTACCGTGCGCTTGAGTCCTGTTTCTTCACTACTGCAGCAAAAGGAGGCCAAAATCCTTATCAAAGAGTGGAGGGATACTGTGAAGTCAGCCTTTGCAAAAGCTGTGTCAGAATTCCAATCCCTGAAGTTCCACCCAAAGTCAGATGTATGGGAAGAGACTGAGGAGAAGATCAGAGCGATGCTTAAGAATGAAGATGCAGTTGTAGTGCCTGATAAAGCCAATGGTGTCTTGTCAGTGGGCGGTCCAGTGAATAATGTCAACAGACTCGAGAAAACTATTTCTGAAGTCATTGACAATGTCGCAAAAAGGGTGCAGAGGGAGAAAGCGAGCGTAACACAAGAGATCAAAGTGCCACCATCTGTGTTCCACATCCTGTGTCAAGATGGTCTCAAGGACAAGCTTCTATGTGTGTACCCAGAGCTCAAAATGTCATTTGGAGAAGACAGTTCCCATTTAAAAGTAACTGGCATAGGGGATGAGATTTTTGCAGCAAACAAAGTTATATTGGAAGCAATGTTTGCATTAAAACGGCAAACTTTAGAGCTAGATAAGTATGTTCTTGACTTGTTGAAGAAGGAGCAACAAGAGGAGCTGACAAAAGCTCTCCTCATATCTAAAGGAATAAATGCAGCCTTTGAGATCAATCCGTACAGAGTGCAGCTCCTTGCTGTTTCTGACAAAGACCTTAATGATGCTGAAGACCATCTGCAACGCCTGCTGAAATCTGAGTACATTGATGTTGAAGACACTAATGTTCTGGAGAAACCAGAGTGGCAGTGCCTGGTCAGTAAGTTAGAGAGTGACAACAGTAAATCATGCAGCAGAACTCGAATCCACACCACTAGTAAACAAGTCGTGGTGTCTGGCCCAGAGGATAGTGTTAGAAAAGTTAGCAGGGAACTTGACAACTTCTTAACGCAGAATGCTCAAGTCGAAGAAACTGCTGAGATCAAGCCCAATGTCATCGTTGAATACATCAGAAATCTCAACACATCGTGGTTGGAGAAATTGGAAGATAAGGTGGTGGTGTCATACAGAAAGGACGCCATCTGTCTAAGCGGGTCAAGAGTTGATGTGGTAAACTGCAAGACATTGGTGGAAAACTTAGTCTCTTCTGTGTTCTTTGACACTTTAGAAATCCCCAAGCCTGGAGGAAAGAAGTTCTTCCAGGATAATGAAACTATGTATGTTTCCACACTGAAAACCGAAACCGGTTGTCTGGTCCAGTTGGTTGACGAGACTGCTGATGGACAGAATGACTCAGCCCGTAGACAAGTACCAAAACCTGTATACCAAGTTGAGACAACTGATGGAGTGGAAATAGCTGTTTGCAAGGCAGATGTGTGCAGTTACCCGGTACATGCAGTTGTCAATGCTTCTAATGAGATCTTGAAAGACGATGGAGATCTTTCTACAGCACTTTTGAATGCTGCGGGCCCTCAGTTGCAGGATGAATTGGACAGACAAATTAGCTTGAAGGGACAGCTCAAGCCCGGAGACTGTGTCATAGCTGGTGCTGGAGGGCAGCTGCGTTGCAAAAAAATCATTCACGCACAGTTACCACATTATGATTCGGCTAAACCCCAAAAGGCTGTGGCGCAGTTAAAAAGAGCTGTTAAAGGAAGCTTAGAACTTGCTGAAATGGATGGCTGCATCTCTGTTGCTCTTCCTGCCGTCAGCAGTGCCCTTCGCTTTCCCCTCAGTGTGTGTGCAAGCACCATTGTCAAAGCAGTTAAGGAATACTGTGATGAGAAGTATGAAGATAACACCTTGAGGAGAATTCATCTGGTGAACAACGACGACAGTGTTGTCCAGGCTATGGAGAAAGCCGTCAGACAAGAGTTTGGAAATAATGGTGTCAGTCATTCTCAACAAACTCTTCCCACCACGTCTACCAAGTCTACGCTTGTGAAGTCTGCTGGATCAACCCCTTTCTTGTTTCAAGTGCAAACTAAAGAGGGCGTGTGCATCACTCTTACGAAAGGACACATAGAGGCTGCGACGGTAATTAACATTTTTTGTTATACTTCGTCAAAAGCAAATAGTTAACAAGTCCACATGAAGAGACTAAAGACTGTTACAGTACACAGCAGTAATTATTGATCCTGTGCTCTAGCGCTAACGTGTTAATATGACCGACTTTGTGGGGCTTGACTGATTTTGTGTTTGACTGACTTTCGTTGAACTGATGCTTGACTTTTCTGGTATATAAAAACGCATTTTCAGACGGAGGTGATCGTGAATACTGTGTCTGAAGATCTTGCACTTAACAAAGGGGCAGTTTCAAATGCAATCCTGAGTGCGGCTGGATCCAAACTTCAGCAGTTGGTTACAGCAAGCAACGCCAGTGGAACTATCGGGGAAGTTGTTGTCACCGACGGCTGCAAACTGAAGAGCAAACAAGTTTTTCATGCAGTTTTACCTCGTTGGGACAGTGGCAGTAGCGCAGCCAAAAAGGTGAAGTGTTATGTCATGAATAGTAAATGACTTTTGTAATCTGAATTTGATGAAAAGTCAAAACATTTCTTAAGGAATGTACTTTAGAGCTAAACGGTTTAAGTTCCATTTTCTCTGTAAAACTAATTTGTGTAAACAACATCATTAACTTTCAATATACAGTTGCTGGATAAATGTAGTGCACTTAGATATGAACAGTGGTGGTATTAATATGTATGCTGTGTCTTTCAGACCTTGACTGGAATCTTAAAGGATTGCTTGGGCAAGGCAGAGGATACTGGTCTGACCTCCATATCCTTCCCTGCCTTTGGCACTGGAAACCTGGGTTTCCCTAAAGACGTTGTCGTTTCTTTGATGTTGGACAAAATCTTGTCATTCAGCAGTAAAAACAAGCCTAAGCACCTAAAGAAGATTGTGATTGTTCTGTACCCCAAAGATGCACAGACTATCCAGGTAAGCACAGATAACAAGCTTTGAAGGAATTTCATGCAAACATTTACAGGGAAATGAACTGTGAGGCCAGATCAGTGTTATCCACCCACTCACCACAAAAGCTCTTTTTACAAGGACATAAGGACTTTTTTTATTTTTTTTTTGCTTTGATGTAATTTATGTGTTTTGGTTGAAGATTTCTCGAACTCTGTCGGTAGGTTTTCAGTGATGAATTTAAGAAGAAGTTCCCCAATGCCTCTAGTGGTTCAGTGTCTACGAGTTCCACACCAAGTGCAGGTAGGCAACATTGTTTTATGTCTATTTTTTATTTGTAGTTACAATGTATTAGAACAAATGTAAAGATGACGCACATTAATTAATGTATTAATAGACTCAGCAAGATTTCATGTATTCTGTTTTACACCCGGCAAATCTTTATAAAGCTGTATATTTACAGTAGTAATTCCCAATTTACACTGTGTTTGTATCAGCCAGCTATTTCACAGTTTCACCAGTTTTGAATTGTTACAGTTTTTAACAGATTCATTTTCATTCAGTTTCATTTTTACTCTGTATTTGCCACAACATTTTTTTCTGTACGCTCTGTGGTTATGTCCACCACCAGGAGGACCCTTCTCTAAAGTTGCCTCAAGCTCAGGAATGCATGAGGCTAAAATGGGGAGGGTGACTGTACAGGTCGTCACAGGAGACATAACCAAGGAGACCACTGATGTCATTGTCAACTCCTCCAATGACGATTTTTCTCTTAAGTCAGGTAAATATTAGCATGAACGGGAACATTTCAATCATCCATTCATCCATTATCTATACACCATTTAATTCTCACTGGGGTCGCGGGGGGCTGGAGTCTATCCCAGCTGACTTAGGGTGAAGGCAGGGGACACCTGGACAGGTCACCAGTCTATCACAGGGCTACACTTAGAGACAGACAACCAAGCACACTCACATTCACACCTACAGACAATTTAGAATCACCAATTAACCTCAACATGTTTTTGGACTGTGTGGGAGGAAGCCGGAGAACCTGGAGAGAACCCACGCTGCACGGGGAGAACATGCAAACTCCACACAGAAAGATCCCAGGTGTCCTCATTGGGACGCAAACCGTCGACCTTCTTGCTGCGAGGCGACGGTGCTAACCACCTTCCAGCCCATATTTCAATCATGCAAAATGATTTTAAATGAGATTCATCCATAAGGCAACGACTGCCTCCGACCAGAGATTTTCATAGTTGACTAGTCATCAGATGTTTATGATGTCAATTTAGTTTATCTAAATGTATACTTTTTGAGGTTCTCTGAACAAAAATTGACTTCCAGTGCTGATAGAGAACATTATAAGTAACTGTACCACATTACAGAGAAACCCAGAGCCAGTCACAAGCCTTAATTATATGAAGTAAGTTGCAGCAACATCGACAGAAGTGGTTGGATAATGATTCCAAATGTGTTGGAAAGAAACTGAACATTTTGTTCGTAAGCCTAATCATATGTCACCTTCTTGATCCCACACTTTGAATTCCATAAATTAGTTGCACACTGTGCGTTCGTTAACCCATCACATTTTGTATGTATTTGTTTGATATAAGTTTTATTTTTTTCTTCTCTAGGTGTATCTAAGGCTATTCTGGATGCAGCTGGTCAGGCTGTTGAAGCCGAATGCCAAACCCTTGGTAATGTTACTCACTTAATGACACTGTAACCAAGAGATAACCTCAAAATCAGTTTTCTGTCGAGGTGATAGAGTAGATACTGAATTAATAATTAGACAATTCTGTAGTCACAAGATTGTTCAGATAAGAAATGTTGCTCATGGTTGTCATGGTTTAAAATCATTCCGATCCACTGTTTACACCTTTAGGTGCACAGTCCAACACGGACATGATAATGACGCAGCCAGGTAACCTGCAGTGTAAGAAGATCCTTCACCTGGTTGGTCGGACGGACCCAGTAAAAATCAACGAGGCTGTGAAAGATGCACTCCAAATGTGTGTGAAAAACTACACTTCTATTTCATTTCCTGCCATTGGCACAGGTGAGAGCAGATTTCAGTAATTTATTATATGTAAGGTCTTGACATATATGCTCAAACATATTTTAGCTGAGGGTATTGAAGGCATAATAAAAGTATGAAATTCAGTTTAAGGCAATTTTAATGTTTAAATTGCATTTTGGATTTAAATGGATATTAAATAGATTTCCTTCTTTCCACAGAACAAATTTCACATCTTTTTTAAAAGACTTTATTTCTGCTTTGCCTTTTTAGGTCAAGGAAATGTACAAGCAAGGCAGGTGGCAGATGCCATGCTGGATGCAGTGATTGAAGTGTTGAGCCAAAACACCTCCAGTACCCTGACTACAGTCCGCATAGTTATTTTCCAGGCACCGATGCTAAAGGAATTCTACAACAGCATGCAAGAGAGAGAAACACCTGACCCAAAGCCCGTTGCAACACCTTCGTCTGATCCTAAGGATAAAGGGTGGTGGGAAAACATTGGCTCCAAAATCAAATGTAAATGCAGAAACAGAGCTAATTTTGGTTCTCACATTCCCTTGTCTGTATTCAGTTTTGAATGTTTCATTCTAACTTAGGTCTTGCAATTTGTTCTTTCAGCATTTTTTGTTTCCGAAAGGACTGAAAAGCTACAAATGGAGGGGGACATTGTCATCGAGGGTCTACAAGTGGACCCTGCCTGCTTTCATATCTGCGGTGACACACAGGCTGACGTAGACTTAGCCAAGCAGTGGATCGACAACCTGATATCCACAGAGCAAACCAGTGTCACGATTTCAGACTACACCATCATTAGCTTCTCTGGTGCAGACCACCAGCAGATTGTTGAGATCCAAAAGACCTTGGGCGTCAGCATAAAAACTGAAATCATAAACGCTCAAGCCTCAGTTACAATTGAGGGCCTCAGCAAGGATGTGCTCCAAGCCAGCAATCAGATCCATCAGATGCTGAAGAAGGTGAGAGATGAGGAGGAGATGAAGAGGAAGGTGGAGCTGGCTAGCACAGTGGTAGACTGGCAGTACCAGCAGCAGGGCTCTCAGTTTCAGAGTTTTGATGCAAAGACCAACTTTGAGCTTGAGCGAGCACTGAAGAAGAATCTACCAAATGTAAAAGTCAAAGTCCTCGGTCAAGACTACACAGTCGCCATGCCAAGTGGACCAGCCGCTGACAGCACGGGAAGCACCCTGCAGATAAAGCGAATTGACAAACTAAAAGGTATTTCACAGATGAATGAGGAGTTACTTCTCATTCTGCTTTTGAGTCCTCGCAAACCAGAAATCTTTGAGTGTTTGTAGCGTGCATCATGAATTCTCTTGCTGCTTTTTCTACAGGTCTGGCATCTGCCACAGGTTTTCTAAGCCATAAAAAATGACAAAATTGTTAATTCCAATAACAATAAAATGCAATTTGTCTGTTTTGCCACTAGATGAAGATGTAGCTGAGCAGTGGGATACCATGCCAGATAACACCACAAGTCTCGCAGTCACCATCACTGCTGGGACACCAGAGCACACTGAAATCCTGAATCTGTTCCAGGCCTCCTGCAATAGAACGGTTACCAAGGTAACATTAAACATGCTCCACTTTGATATCTTAATAATCACATGGTATCAGCAGATATTTCTTGAGAACAGAAGACATGTTGCTAGGATTAAACTTTTGTGTTTTTTGGGAAATCACTCTTATTATTATTATTTTTTTGATTGAACAAGAACATAAAGCATCATCAATGGCTGATACTGAATTGTTTTCATATTAGCCTTGTACAGTTTGTGAAGCACGTGAGTTAAATGAAATTTGTTTAAAGTGCAGTTTACAGAAGACAGTAAACTCACAGCAGATTGGTCAAAAATGTACTTTGCCCTTCTCTTAGATTGAGAGGATCCAGAACCCTACATTGTGGAGCAGTTATCAGATCAAGAAGCGTGACATGGAGCTGAGAAATGGCCATCAGAACAACGAGAAACGTCTTTTCCACGGCACGTGTGAAGCCACGGCGACTACTATCAATGAACTTGGCTTCAACAGGAGTTATGCAGGAAAAAACGGTGAGAAGTTTTGGGGCATTTTTGCTGTTGTCAGAGACTTGATAGTATGAGATAGATAGATAGATAGATGTCAGGAAAGAAAAAAGAAAATGAAAGCAATGTCATATATGTTACCGATCTGCTCACTGATTTTTCGCTGCCGTTTCATTTTCAGCTACATGTTTTGGCAAAGGCTCGTACTTTGCAGTCAATGCAAGTTATTCTGCCAGTGACACCTACTCCCAGCCAAATCAAAATGGGGAGAAACTCATGTACGTCTGCCAAGTGCTGACTGGGGATTACACCGTCGGCAAAGCAGACATGATTGCACCACCAGACAAGGGAACCTCGTCTGTTCAGAAGTACGACAGCGTCGTGGACAAAATGCCCAACCCCAATATGTTTGTTATTTTCCATGACAGCCAGGCTTATCCTGAATATTTGATTACATTCCAGTGACACCGCCATGCACTGAGATGACAAAAAAGAAGATACTGCCTTACAACATTAAATAACCGTTTAATAATCACAACATTATTCTTGCATTTGTTTAACAATCTAGTTAGTTTAAACTCACAATAGGTGTTATGGTGTAACTGTATTAGCTGTTTCCAGATTTTAAAGAAACAGGCGATGATCACAAGGGTCAGTTGTTAGTAGTCAGACCTAGATAGTGCCTTGAAAATGTATCAGTGAACATCCTACAGATTTATCATGCAAACAGAAATCAGTCACATTTTACATAACACACTGTGAAATTCCACTGAACAGTTTTTATGACTCTTGGGAGACTGATTGTAAGTAACATCTCTGTTCCAGGAAATCACGTGATTACATACGCCTGTCTGTGTGCGCATAAATCAAGTTAATAATCACCTTTTGTTTTGCAAGAAAAAAACTGAACGTTAACCGCTGTTCCAATAAACAAGCCCAGACAAATGAAGAAGCACATAAATGTGTTGACTGTTTTGTGAAGAATAAATATATAATCAAGTCAAATACTTACAGCTGTGAACGACAGTACTTGTTCTAAGAAGGAACAAAAAAAAGGAATCTAATCCCCCAAACAAATTAATAAGTCAAATGGTCTATTTTTCACTCCTTGTTTGGTATTTTTACATCCAACTACGGCCCCGTTCTTCAGTCATGATAAAAAAATCCAACTCAGAAAGTAATTATGATTTAGTTTCTTCCCATCTAAGATAACATTTTTTCTTTTTGAACCAACTTCCAAACTTTTGTTTAAAATTGCTGATTTTGAATTCGTATTACAGCAACTTCTTTGCAAAAGTTACCACATTGCTATTTATTCTGTGCAGAATAAGTCAAGTTCTAGATCTGACGAATTATTTATTTTTTATTTTTTTAATTGTCTCCTTGGATTGCATCCAAGAACATCCAAAGAAGAAATCCCTGAGTACCAAAATCATAGTCATTTGTTGGTATTCAGACTCTTTTACTTTTTTTGCTTTAGGTTGTAGAATTAAGTTGAAATAAAACAGACATTTTCCTCAATTAGTGACAACATAGAAACATTATTTATTTTTAACATATTAAAGACCAAATGCGAGCACTCTCATTCAGACCTACTCATTTGAGTATTTTGTAGAAGCCCCTTTGGCAACCTACCTAAGTCTCTGTAGGCTTTGCACATCTGGATTTGGACAGTTAATTACTTTCTTTCTGACACCTCCTGTCAAGCTCCATTAGATTAGATGGGAAGCATCTGTGAACAGCTACCTTCACGTCTGTCCTCTGATTGTCTATGGGGTTTAAATCTGGGCTTTATCTGGGACACTGAAGGCCAGATAGGCTCGTCCTGAAGCCACTCCAGTGTTGTCTTTGCTCTATGTTTTGGTTCACCGTCGGTTGCTGCACTCCGTAGCAGGTATCCCTTCCTTCCTCTCTGCATTTGGCTGCAGACAACCTTCTCTGCCTCTGTTGGCCCATAGCCCCATCGTGAGATGCTGCTACCACCAGGTTTCGCTGGACTGATGATATTAGCAGGTGATGATCAATGTTTGGTGCTCACCAGGTATAATGCTTAGAGTTCTGGCCTCAAAACTTTTGTCTCATCAGATCAGATAATCTTTAATACTTTTGGAGTCCTTGAAGAGCAGTTTGTCAGACTCCAAGCAGGCTATCAAGCACTTTCAAGGCTTCTGTCGAGCTGCTCCGTCATACAATCCTGCTTGATAAAATGCTGCTGAGGTACTTGCTCTTCTGGGAGATTTTCCCATCTCTGTAAAGAATTTTTGAAGATCTATTAGAATGACAGTGAAGTCCCTCTTCTCCTTCTGATCAAGGACTGTCTTGCTTGGTTGCTTGGTTTGGCAAGGCAGCCCACTCTGTGACTGAGGCCACTTCGCTCTCTCAAAGCTTTAGAAATGGTTTTTTATACTCTTGTCGTCGTTTGTGCCACACCACACCTTTATCACAGGTTTACAGAGAGTTCCTTGGACTTTACTGGTTTTCATCTTGACATGGAGTGTCACTCGGTGGTTACAACACAGGTAAGATAAGATAAACTTTATTGATCCCTTAAACAGAGAAATGTTCACTGTAAGTGGGTCGTTGCGTCCCGTTTTAAGCTACATGTAAGCCACTAAGTGTATCACTGGTGGAAATTAATTTTCAGACAGGACGATCCTTAAGCCATACCAGATGTTTAGCTCACTCATATTAAAAAGTATTAAAGAGACTAAAGAAAAGAGATAACAAAGAAAAACACCCTCAAACGAAAAGTTAACCAACAGTGAGGGTTCTTTTTAAACACTAAGACTTTGAGTAAAGACAAAAGTTTTAGTGCATTTCAGCCCTTTATATATTAAAGAGATTTTTTCCAACCCCTTTTAGTTCACTCTTTCATCCGTCCATGCTAGCTGGCTATACCTTCAAATATTCATCTACTGTACAAAACGTGTGCTGTCTAATCAGCATCTTGTTACGCCACACCTGTGAGGAGGATGGATTATCTTGGCAAAGGAGAAGCGCTCGGTAACACAGATGTAGACAAATTTGTGAATAATATTTGAGAGAAAAGGCCTTTTGTGTACATAGAAAAAAGTCTCAGATCTTTGAGTTCAGTTCATGAAAAATGGGAGCAAAAACAAGTGTTGTGTTTAGATTTTTATTCAGTGTAAATATCACCAAAATTAAATTTGAAGACTAATTCAACAAAATTTTCATGAAGGTCAATATTAAAACTTGAAAGCCTATGACAAAAATACTTGTGCTGATGGGATGTTCTGGTGATAAATTAATTCCTGTTGACTTATTAGTGACATGCTTGCAACTTATACTACAGTTGTTGAATTAATAAGAGGATCTAAAAGGACCTTTAATGCTTGAATGGAGACTTAAAGTGAAATTTAGTGCCAAAATCTTCTTACAGTGGTAAATTTCCAGATTCATCAGATGGGTCAAAGGGAAATCACAGACTTCTTATCACACAGCTTTATTAAAATGAGATTCTCTGCTAGACTCTCTGACGCCATCTACAGGACAGACTGCATCAGTGTACATGCAGTTTGTCTATTTTATCTCAGTTTTACTCCAGGAAAGAACAGAGGTTCCCTACATTTTATCATAGATTGCATAAGAAAGATGGACGCAGCAACCGTGACTGAAAAATGAAGCCAAACCGGAAGTGTTGAAAACCTGCAATACTGTACGGCTCTGGTTCTCATGGACCTCAGTTCTAAAAAGCAAAACTCAGATCAGGAAATGCAGCTTTTCTACAGCTCAGGATTTTTTTTTTCATTAAGTTTAATGGTCCAACCCAGAGATCAGGTGGTCAGTCTGAAAATAATTCAATATTGAATGTTATATAAGTTTTATATATAACAGGGGGCGTGGCTGCTTGATTGACAGTCTGCTCTGGATTGATTGACAGTTGGTCTGGAAGGAAGACCTCATCCGGTTGTGAAGGAGGAGACTGTTTTGTATTCACAGGTTCCACTACTTGCCTTTAACTTCATCTCTGCTGTTGTTGCATATTGACAACTCAGAGTACATGTTGCTATCATTTAGAGCAGATACGCAGCATTAAAACATTACAGCATTCAGGGCAAGAAGTTCAATAATGCCTTTATTGCACATTTAAAAACTACAAATCTAAACTGAAAAGATGTGTAAAAGTATGTAATACATGGGTAAAATAAATGTGTTGTCCAGCTTACAGTGAAGCGTTATTACGTAACAGTCACAAAACAAGTGTGCATGATGAAGAGAGGCAGCTGAATCGGCAGTGCAGCATTATTGTTGTTACTGGAATAGATGAGGATGACATAAGTTGCTCTTCCTATCAGGGATGAAGAAGGTGAGAAGACTCTTCCAGCTCAGGCAGCCGAACGTTCATGTTCTACGTAGCTCTCAGGATCACATCAGATGTTCCCAATGATTCCCATCATGGCTGGAAGGAAAAGACACAAACAGTGAGGTACAATTCATTCCAGCTGCTGTAAGATTAAATACGAGAGTGTACACGGCAGGGTATGAATGTAAAACAGTAGAAAGTGGGATGTTTTTGTCATATATTCTAACTGTATGGAGGTGTTTGTTTTCCTGGTCGAGGACAGTTTCGTGCCTTAGATTTACGATCAAGTTTATGCTTTTTTATTCTAATGTATCATAATGTGAGTGACTTAGAAAAATGAAAAATAAACAGCACTCTGACTACATGAGCTCCACATGGGTATGTGACAATACATTGTTCTGCTGGATTGTTTTACATGAAATACCACCAGAAAAGTACCAATAACCTCTGTGGTTCAGTGTGCTGCTCATGACATGGAGGGTAAACCTCGTTAAGGATCATTTCAACAGATGTTTTTTCTCAGTGAAATGAACAAAAGCTGCTAAAAAAAAACAGGCATTAAGTCTGATACTGAACCAAAGAACAGTGACATGAACATCACACAGTTAAACTGAGCTTCATTAATTGAACTGGGAGATTAGCATTCATCAGTGACAGTGTTCTGTGGAGGAATGTCAGCTTGGTTTAGTTTCTACCTGCTGATCATCTACGAACAGCACGTCGAGACAGCAGCAGTAAAAAGGTTGTAATAACGTTATGACTGATCAGCTGTGGTGGCTTATTTATGACGCCGACAAACCTGATTTAGCATCAGTGTTAGCACTGAGTCAGGAAGCATAACCTGAGGTTTACAGAACAACTTTGAAACAGGGTGTTAGAGTCTAGTGTTCACTTTCACAGTAATTTCAGCTACAGGTCACTGCTTTTATATGTGATATTATCCACATGTGGACAAAAGTACAGGTTACTAAGGTGACTTTAACACTCACCTGTAGAGTTTAGCTCCACTGTTGGAAGCTAACGCTGTTAGCAGCAGCGTCCTCGGCTCTCAGTCATTCTGACCAATCACTGCTCTCCGGCTCCGCCCTCTTTCAATCTGCTGTTTCGTCTCCAAAAATCCAAGATGTCAACCAGGAAGTAGCAAAAATACTAGGCTTTACTTTTTATTAATTTTTTTATTTTTTTAAATTTTTTCCCTAGTGTTCACTTTCTCAGGACAGAAACCAGCGGGTGACCTGACGGTAGCTACGCCTTTTTTTTTTTTTTTTTTAAATCTTTCCTAAACAGTCTGTGCGTTTTATTCAATATTAAATGAACAAATGAATTAATTATCTCATGAAATAAATCCTTAAATAAATTGAGCAGGCAATAAATATAGAAATAAAAGTCACAATTAAAAAAAAAAAAACTTTTTATTTTTTCGAAGGACATGTTTAAAAGACTACTTTTGTTAATTTTTGGATTTATTTCTTTGACATGTTAATATATGTCATAGAGATATTTACTTATCTATTTAAATCCCAATAGAAACTCACAGACAGTTTTTTTTCAACATATAGATAGATAGATAGATAGATAGATAGATAGATAGATAGATAGATTAAGATTAAGATTAATTTTGGGATTTATTTCTTTGCCATACCTCTTTATTTGGTACGGATATCTGGGATATTTAGTTATTTATTTAAAACCTAAAAGAAACGCACATATGTCCACCATATCCGATTTAGAATTCAAATAACTAACTAAATAAATAAATACATTCCTTGGAAATAAATCCTCAAAATAAATAAATGTTAAAAAAAAAAAATCTAAATAAAGGACATCCCCCAGCACAACTTGTAATTATTTCAGGGAACTTTGATGTCTTAATGCCTCAATATTTATTTCATACGAATATTTATATATACATTCATGTATTTATTTATTTATTTACCATTGAATTAAATAGCACTCCATACGTTCCATCTGCAAGACAGAGTGTATTACTGCAGAAACGGTTTCTCAAACTAGTTTATCGCAACTTTAAACCTTAGAAGAAGCTCACACAAGTGCACTACTAAATGACTACAGAAATAAATGTCACAATTAAATAAACAGGTTTTTATTTTTTAAAATACGCTTTTTCCCCAAAGAAAGTAATTTTATTCATTTTAGAGGACTTTTGCTTCCTACTGCCACATTTGTTTCATCGGGATATTTATCTATTTATTCAATTTTTCAATATTTAAAAAAATAAAACCCAAAAACAAAAAACGGCATTTCTGTACAAGAGATGCCTGTCAGCAGCAGAAGTACCATATTGATTGTTTTTCACTTCTTTTTTAAGGTGGAATCTTTCTTCCTTTTTTTTCTGAACGCATTCCTCACCCATGGGTGCAGGTGTGTCTATACCTGCCTCTCAGAAGTTACAAACACGGAAGTTTTAGGACTCTCCCGGTTTTACCACTTCACCGAGTTTGGCTGCCCTGCTTCCTGACAGAGAACCGAGCTAAAGTGAGCGCAACGTCAATCAGTTCAGGCACCGAGAGGCAGCGACTCTTCTGGACCTTCGGAACCGGGGTCCCTCAGCGGGAGTACCGACTCAATGGCATCCGACGGGCAGATGTATCCAGGCGGCCCGGCGCAGGCAGCGGGGCTCGGGGGCAGCTCGGAGCAGCTGAACTCCTCCGCTGTCAACCGCCTTTTAATGGAGTTCCTGATGTACTTCGGGCGGGCCGTGTTCCTCTTCTACCCGGTCTACCTGACGGGCTACCTGGGCCTCAGTATCAGCTGGGTGCTGCTGTGCATGCTCATGGTGACCTGGTGGAAGAAAAACCGACGGTGGAAGGACGCGCGGATCGGAGGTGCCATCGAGTTTGTGGACAACGAGACGCGCGTGATCAACACAGGGCTGAAGAGTGACCTACAGATGGCAACGTGGGTACGTATCCCTGCTGGTGTGGGTATCATCAGAGACCTACTGCTGGTCACTGACTAGTCTTAAGATCACTTCAGCAGCCAGCAAAGACATCCAGCAGCATTCAGTCATTACAGAGAGCTCCAACCCTCAATATGCTTTGTGGTTAGTGGCATGTTTTTGATGCAAAGTTTAGTAAAAACATCCTCAAAATTAGCCCTGAACTGCAGGACATCATTGTCACCCTGTTGCCATGACAACAGTATTTGCATGACAAGCAGGACTGAGGCTGAACCTCCCATACTCTTGGAAAAGCCAGCCACATGTCCTGTTAGTCTGCCGCTGGTCTCACCTCTCCACATTTGGTTACACCACACCCTGTCCAAAAGTGACTCACGGGACTATAAGACAATAAGCCAGAGAGCTTCTTCTTATGTCAGAGGAATGTGATGTGTACAATAGATGTGAAATCAGATCACGTTTTTATTTTATTTTTTTGTCTGGTGGGGGCAGTTCGTGTCTTGCTGCCTTCTGTATTTGTGTGTGTGAGAGAGAGATTCCAGATGTTGCATGTGATAAGCAGATTAGCAGATCTGATTCCTGATTTCCACCCAGTGTAAATAAGTTATATAAGTGGTGGAAGAAGTATTCAGATGCATTTCTTAAGTAAATGTACTAATGCAGCAAAGTTACAATACTGAATTTCAAGTAAAAGCAAGGAAAATCGCCTTTAAGTAAGTGTTAGTAGCCAGATGTAAGTAGTAGTGCAGGTGTGGTCCCTCTAACTGATCTATATCATTGTATTATTAATAGTGAAGCATCAGTGTGTCAGCAGCATGTTAGTGTTGTAACTGCTGCAGGTCACAACTACTTTGAATCCAGTTTTATATACAACAATGGAATCTGAAAGCTCCATTTTTAAACTTTTAAAACAAATTTTCTAATCTGGGATTTTTTTTTTTTTTTGTGAGATACTGGATTATGTGAACATTCATTGAAATGCAACCATGTGAGTAGTCATTAGGGAGAAGTCAGTATTTGGTGAAGCTGCTCCTTCCAGCTTTTTGCATCCGAAGCCAAAAAGGCTGGAAAAAAATGTGTTGCATTTTAAGACCTTCGTATGTTATCTGTTGTGTAAATTCTGTGTCTTTAAAGTAACTAAAGCTGTCAAATAAATGTAGTGAAGTAGAAAGTGAAGTGTGAAATGTAAGTATAAAGTAGCATAAAATGGAGATATTTCAGCAAAGTGCAGTTACCTCAAAACTGTACAGTACTTCGTCGATTCCATTATTTTTTCAAACCGTATTCATAGATGTTGGCAAATGTCATTTGAGTCTCAGGTAAGTTTTCCCTCGCTAGCGTCTTGCAGAGCTCCCTCATTACACTTCAGTTTATGTTGACAAGATGTGGGCCCATCGGATGCTGTGTATTAGAATAATTAGTGATAATAAGTTTTATAGAATAGAATAATAGAAATAAATAGAATAATTGTAATTCCAAACCTCTGTTACAGTCCACAGCTGTGATGCTGCAGAGAAGCTTTGGTAAGCCTTAAAACAAATGCTGCTGTGCTTGCTCATAACTCAGGAACACTGGAATTTCTGGAATGCAAAGTATTTATGTAATTTTTTTCTGAGTTGGATCCGCCCGTCTTAAAGGCACTTGACTTTTTCATTTGACTGATCTCTTGTAAATTTACTCATAAATTTTGCATGAAGGGTGACTAAGAAAGAATGAAACCACAATGTCTTCCATCACCACCATCGTGCATGCCACTGTGTTGTTTGGATGATATTGATTAAAGTTGATTACAGACCAACTTCTAATGTCACTGCTTCTTTTTCTCCCAAGGTCCAGTTCGCTGATGTTGAGAAAGTGCAGTGGGTTAACAAGGTACAGTACTAAAATGAACTTCTCCTATCCTGTCCTACCTTTGTGGTTTATGGGGTCAAGGTTAGGTAGATGTCAGTCTGCTAAATCAAGCTGGTGTTTTTGTATTTTAGATCTATTTTAGGATGAAGAACATCACCTAATCTAACCATTATGACAGCAGCTACACTGCAGGGGTCAGCCAAATATTGGCCTGACTGATTATCAGATCTGATTTTCAGCATTTTTACAACAATTGGTATGTTATTTAAAAAAAAAACAAAAAAAAAAACGGATTCCTGATAAATAAATAAAATTGACAATGTGCTATTTTCTGGAGCAATGTCTCACTGACTGGTTAAACACCTTGAGTAGCAACAGTCAGCGGTGAGGGATAAATGCTGAAATGTTCTCTTTTACTTAAACATATATCAAAAAACAGTAATATTTTAGGAAAGTTTAGTGTCAGAGTTTGTGTCATTTTAAAGTCTGACAGCAAGATTTTAATTTTTAATGCAAATGTGTGTCACTTCCAAATATTGTCTGTTGGTCTCCATGATTGTTGTGTTTGTCTGATGAGGTGTTTGCTGTAAAATTAAATGCATAGACTGCACATGAAATGTTAAGCATCTGGACGATGCCATTGTAGGGGACAAAGAGATAAATTAGCTCCAAAGCAACATGCAGGTTGCATTTATTGTCAATGGCATTATTTCATCATGACAAAAAACATGTCTTGGCTCTAAAGATTTACAGTCTTTTGTTTAGAGGTGTGTGGGAGGGAATATCTATTGGTAAGAGATGAGAGCTTTCCCACACATTGTCCATTTACTTGAATAAACTTGGAAATAATATTTGGATTATTCGACCTTCATCTGGTAAAACTGAGGAAGAGAGAATATGCCAGACAACACTTCCTCAGTCGATGCCAGTCATGGAATAAGAGCCTTCAGGTGACGAGCCCCTGAGGCTGTATGCATTTAGCTGATTGGAAAGGACGTCCTGCCATCTAAACTTGACTTTCACTAATATACAACAAACAAAAACTACATCAATATATAACCTAAAATGTATAAAATTTAAACCAATTCTTGCAGAAAGACAATAGTACAGTTAGACTCACTGTCATGCTTTCACTGTTCTGGCAGTAGGTTATGGTGTTATAGAAGTGTTATTGAATATTTCAGAGTCCCACCATTGAAATACATAAACACAGTGATGAAGAAAACATTGTGCAACAATCATTGAAAGATGAAATAGATACCTCTGAATATGTCCCAGGTTACCATAAAACCAAGAAGTATAAATGCAATGAAGTAGCCACATTCACAGTGTTGGATAAGTCTGTCTGGGTGAAAGTCTAAGCACTAAAACACTGCATTTACAATAAAGTTTATGGCAAGGAATGTGACTCTGTTCTTTTATAAAAGAGCTTATGAAAAACTGAAACTCAAACATACAAAGAGTTCAATGCAACATGCCTTCTAGTATTCACCCAGGGAATAGAACAGCACAAGTGAAGTTATGTATGCTATTTGAGTAGGTGTTGAATCAAGGCGTTTTCATATGCTCTGTTTTATTCATGTGTTCAGGTGTTGGAGCAGGCGTGGCCTTTCTTTGGGATGTACATGGAGAAGTTTCTTAAAGAAACCATCCAGACGACCGTCAGGCAGTCCAGCGCTGCGCTCAAGACGTTCTCTTTTACCAAGGTCCACTTTGGACACATTGTGAGTTTGCATTTATCATTTCTATCTATCTGATCTGCTGTTCACACTTCATCCTTCATTTAGGTTTCACCTTATTCATCAGTTAAACAGTGGCCATACAGTG